CTTTAGTGGGTTGAAGGAGGATGTTATAGTATTAAATAATCTATTGCGCATGAATAATTTTTATATTCTTGACTTTAGTTTCCCCTCCCCCTATCATCGTTTTGAATTTTATGTTTCTTCATTAAGAAAGACTAGTGTATTTTGATGCACTATTTTCATGGTTTGTTTCTGAATTCATTTTTGTTTTCAGGACCTCTGACTTTCCAACACAGTTGCCTGTGAAATTAGCATGGGTTTGTTGTATCATCCATGATATTCTAGTATCAACAATAAGGTTAGTCTTCAAAATAACTTTTTATGTCATTTATTTATATGTAGTTAGTTGAAATTGTGAAAAAGTTTGGAGGATTTGAACTATTCCTATTGATATTTGATGTTTTATTAGACTGATTTGAACTATTCATTAAACAGAGCTGATTTTGAAAATATGTTAGAGAATGAGATGGGAACTCTTGAAGGCATCAACCCAATTGTTGGAAAAATGGGTGTTATAAGGCTTATTTTGGGCCAACTTTGAGCTCAAAATTGAGTGGGCCCTAAACGTCTTTTGGGGTGGGTCTGAAAAGGTGACATGTTCCTTGCCGCATGGCAAGTCACATGGTGAAGACGGTTCGTCAAAACCATTTATGAGTGAATTGGAAGTTGATGTCGTTTTCGGGTTCATGGAATGAACAATTAAAGCAGTAAATATGGGTTTCCTTGAAATGGGTTGTCCCACATTGAAACTTTAAAAGAGCTTTTGTGGGTATATAAGCTCTTGGTGTACTAACTTGGGTTGGGCCACAAGGGGCACCACAAATTTGTAGAAGGGAGGAGTTATGGACAAATGGAACCTTGGCTCAAACCACCACACACGCTGTAACACCCGCATCCTTTAATCCTTTGGAGTGTGTATTTAATTCCCTTATTTTTATCTTTTGGGAGTTTTGGAGTTGTTGAATGTTGGTTTTGGAGGAGTGTGATCCGATTTAAACTGGTTGGGTTTGTTTGTTTGCGCTTGTTCTTGTCAAAAAGTTCCTTGGGAACTTAAAAATTCTATTCTAGGGTCGACACCAGCCTTCCTAAGGGTCGACCCTTACCTATTGGTGAAGTTTCTAGAAGTGCTGTTGGAAAATAGAGTAGACACCAGTCTGGGGAGAGTCGACCCTCTTATGTTACAGAATCTGTGTTTGCTGAAAAATAGGGTCGACCCCCTTGCTTGTGCCAGATTGTCTTTTCTACCTAAAGGGTTAACCCCCCTGCCCGAAGGGTCGACCCCTACGTGTTTTTTTCAAATTTTTTGGGGTTCGAATGGGCCCTACCTTTGGGGGGTTTGGGGCCTATTATTTATTGACCTTAGGTTTACTTTTCTACTACTATAAATAGGCTTCAAACACATTTCATTTCACTTTTTCTCCTCTTTCCTCTCTCTCAAACCATGAGTTCTCTTCTTTCTCTCTAAACTCAAGCCTTTGGCACTAAGACCTCTAGATCTACTCACTTAGAGTGATTTTTTCATCTTGGTCCTTTGAGAAAAAGTGTAGATCTCGTCAAGGGCTTCTTTTTGGTCCGATTGGTTCGTGGTTTCGTTGCTATTGATTTTGGGTCGTCATCTCTTGGTTTCAAGAGGTAGGGGTTTCTAGTTTTTTTTTAATACCCTCGTTTATGGCTAGATTTGTGATATTTTCTTTGTATAAATACAAAAGTTTATATTTTTATGCATATTGTGATGAATCCCGAGATTAGGGGTTAGGGTTTGAAGAGAGTTGGGTCTATTTGTTGGGTTATGATCTTAGGTCATGAGTTTGGGTGTAAAAGTAATAGAAGGGTTGGAATAAAATGTGTTTTTGTGAAAAGCTTTAATTTCTCTTAAAAACCCTAGTTTGGCTCATGAAGATGGTTAATGGTTTTGCTTCAATTAATAGTAGAATCATGAAATTGAGGTGTTAAATTACACATGTACAAGTTTAGTTGAAATTTTAAAGAATTTGAGAAATGTATGTAAAAGTTGTGATTGAACTCATAATGTTGATGTCTTAAATTATGTTATAATGTGAACCAAACTTGGGGGAAAGGAAATTACTAAATGTATGGATGATATGAGCTTTGTGTTGAAATGGTTATGTGTTATGTGAATTGTATTGAGTTATGTTGTGTTGAGTTGGTTGAATTGTGTTATGTGGAATTGAGTTGTGTTGGGTTGAGTTGAGTTGTGTTGGGTTGTGTTGTGGTTGGTACCCACACGGGGAGTTGAAAAATGATTTTTCGGTGCCCATGACCATCCGTATCATAGCCGGTAAATGTGGGGGATTGTTTTAAAAATTGAAAAATATTTTTTCGATGCCCACAACTATCTGTATAATAGCTAGTAAATGTGGGGGTGATTTTAATTCAAGGTGCCCAATTGCCCTGTCTACGCTTATCGCTGGACAAATGTGGGAAAAGTGTTTTTGGATGTCTACACAGTCTTGCCGTATTGTAGTCGGCGAAAGTGGGAAAGTGTTTTTGGGTGTCCGCACAGTCCTGCTGTATTGTAGCCGACAAAAGTGGAAAAACATATGGTTTTCGAAAATGTTTTGGGTGCTTACGTCCTGCCGTATAATAGTTGGCAAATGTGGGGGATGGTTTTTTAAAAAGTTGAAAATGGTTTTCGGAAAAAGATATGGTTTTTGAGAAAATGATTTTTGGAAGTTCACTTCCCGCCATATAATAGTCGGCAAAAGATGGAATGTACTATGAATTGGTTGCCCGCTATCCTGCCGTATCAAGCCGGCAAAAGGTGAAATGCGTTGTGAAGTATGTTGAGGTTAGTGATGATATATGTAACTTGTGATGAACTTGTGAAATTACCATTTGATGTGTAAATTGGTATGGAATGGAAATGCATATAGAAATTTGAAACGAATGGATAATGAAATGGTAATTAGATAAGGGATTGGTGATAAAGAACTCACCGAGTTGTTTGTGAATGCAATTAGTAAAAGGGGAGAATGGAAATAAAAAGAGGAATGTTAAGATGGAAATTTAATAAGGAATATTTCAGAATGGATTAATAAATTTAAAATGATGTTGTTCCTTAAATATATTTGTTTTCCCAGAAGGATTTATGGTTTTCTGATAAATAGGGATAGTTTTGATGGTTGAAGGTTTACTTTAAATGTTCAAATAAATTTTGAGAAAAAGGTACTCTATGTATAATATTTTGAAATTACAAAACATTACCTTACTATATGGTATCACCCTGCATGCATGATCATTTCTATCTATAAGAATGTTATTGTTTTAGATTTATGAGATTCCTACTGGGCAATTGTGCTCACCCTTGTTGTTTCATTTTTTTTACAGGAAGAGAATTTCGGATTGATTGGTTGAAGGATTAGGAAGTTCATGTGCATCTTGTGTGTAATCTCATTGTACCTTGATGTTTGTAGTTATTTATTTGTGACTCCGTAGTGGGAGCTTGATATGTATTATTATTATTGTTGTATTCATCATGAGAGAGAACATGTACTATTATGTTTCTATTACTCAAGGGTAATAAATATTTGTAAATGTTAAAAAAAATAAAAAATTGACCTAATTTTCAGGCTTTTGGTAATGTTCCCGAGTAGTTAAAATTGGGGCGTAATAACTTGGTATCAGAGCTAACCGGGTTTGAAAACTTGGAGCTCGTGGGAAGTGGTTTTTACCACAATGGGTTGGCTGCGCTTGGTGAAGGTGTTTGTATGTAGAAGTAGAAGGCGTAGGACATTATGTGTTGCTTTGTGTGAGCATGGGTTGAGCTTCTTGGATAGAACTTGTGGCCAACTAACTTGCTTTGAGATCTCATTGGAAACACGTCTGATCGACGTGGTTTCTAGTGGGAGTTCCTTGGATGTTACGAGACAAGTGGTTATCCTTGTAGACTTGACTCAATTATGTGGTTTGTTGCTTGAATTTTGTTTATGTGCCTATGTGACTATACGTTAGGTTGCTTTCTTGTTCTGGCAGGAAGAGTAAGTGTCTCAGGGAAGGGAAGTCGGTTCATTGATGTTAGATGTTGTTATTGAGATATTAAGAGCTGTCAGGGAGTATATTTGAGATGAGGTGAAATCATTGGATGGTATGAGCTTAGTGTGAGTTATGTAGAATATTGTGAAAGGTTTGAAAAATGAGTGTGAGAATTGTGTTTCATGATGATGAGGGTGAGAAAGAGGGTTTGTGATATTTAAGTGTTGAGTGACATGGTTAAGGCTTGTACAGAGTTCATGGGTATGAAGGAAACTTGATAATTAAATGCTAGGAGTGGTTCTTGAGAAGGAATGTGGATTGTAATCTTTATAGATGGTGTTGTATGGGTGATGAATGTTTAGTGTGATTTAGAATTAGTGTTGCCATATCGGCGCAAGAGTGATGGGATTGTTAGGAATAGTACTAGTACAATGTGTACTTGAGGAGTATGGTAAAATCCTAGAAGTATGGGGAATGGTGTGTAAAGCTCCATCTCGGAGTATTTGATTTAGGGCAACCTGTGGATGTTTGAGTGTCAAATTTATGTTTTATTGAATGGTTAACCGATTGGTTGATATGGGAGTTTGAGTGACAAATAGTCACTTTGGAATGCTTAAGTATGAGTAGAGTCACAAGTTCGAAAAGTGTCTTGGAAGGGTTTCGTGAGTGTGGAGTATCCCGTATGTAATGGCAAGGCTTGGATGAGGCTTGTTTCAAGTGGATGGAAATTCCTTGGGTTGAGGGTGAAACATCAAAAATTTCTTGGTCTAGTCTACATGTGAATGAAAAATGGTAACTATGAGTATGAATTGTAAGATGTTAAGGGGTGTGTGCTGAACCTCAGATAGGGACAATTGGTGCCAGTGAGAATGTCAATGTTTGAATTGTGAAAGTAGAAAATTGGTGAATTAGATTAAGTTGCATAATGGAGATGAACTGTCACACCCCCAAACTCGCCCCTAAAAGTTTGGGCATGACCAACTCGATAACAGTCTCAAAACTCAATAATTATGTAATATGGGGCCTGAACGGAAGCAATTATCAATTTAAAATAAACATCCATTGAGCTAACGCTTACATGCCAGGATCACAAAACAATCCATCAATTAGCCCAACACATAAGGAACATACATATAAGAGATAGTTATACACACACATATATACAGTCCCATCCCCGCAACTGGGGGTATAACTAATGCATCGATAGTGAAGGTTATACACACTTTACTACATTTGACAAAAACCACTGACCAATGCTATGAGCAAAGAAAGGAACTTCACAAAAATGGGTAACTTCACTGAATTGCTTGGACACAGCGGGATGATCGAAGATAGCTGTTAGGCTGGACTAAAACTGACCTCCTGGTTGATTACCTACAGAGACAGACATAACACAGAGTGAGCAGGGCTCAGTGAATAATAGTATGTAGGAAACTCAAATGAATAAACATGAATCACAATGCATATATGCGCATAGGTCACATGTTTGATCTTGTTCTGTAACCATTTCCAAATGGCCTTGGGCCCAATATTTACACAAAATGGCCTCAAGGCCAACATCATGTAGAACGGCCTCAGGCCCAAAATATTATACAAAACGGCCTCAGACCCACATATCAATAGCTGTCTAAACATTGGAGGGTAGATAGAACATCGACATGTACACCACCTCTCTTGGCCATAGGCCATGAATCATACTCAATTCAAATCACATTCGGTCAGTGAGACATCAGTATGTCCTCACCTTCCTCTACCTTAGATCTATCCAGACTCAGTGGCTTATAACTGAACGACCTCGAGCCCATCGTTAGCAAGGCAAAATGACCTCAGGTCCATAAAGATATCGTTACTCAATAATGCACATAAGTTTTCTAATTGTTCATCATGAGGAGACATAGTTTACTTACAAATAACAGAACTTTAATAATAATTATTAACAGTAAACAAAATATATCACTACAGTACTATTACTCACAGTGTTGTGGTAGAGCGATAGTCCCTTCCTGAATGTGACCTACACGTACATGAAACTCACAACTTAGTCCCTTTTCCTTTTAACCAATATCTGATTCGTTCAATCTCTATTAAATTACCAGCATTTTAAAAGTTTCAAACACACATTTTAACAATCCCAGAGGGTCAAACAGAAGAAATGGAGGACAAAGAATTTCTCCCCATGGGTCGCACGTGCGAAGGCCCCTCGCCGCACGTGCGGGAAGGTGGGCTGCATGTGCACCCCGCACGTGCATATATTGCAGTGCCTCAAAGTTCGATTCCCTTGTTTTCTGCACGTGCGAATGTGAGCCCCGCACGTGCGGTTGCGCCTCTGTTTGCATACGGTCGGTCGTTGCCTCTGTTTTTGAGCAGTTCGGATTTAGGCAAAATTTCACACAACCAACACATTATAGAGTAGAAAATGGGGAAATCAAAGCAATAATATGATATGGGTATGAAGGAAACTTGATAGGTAAATGCTATGAGTGGTTCTTAAGAAGGAATGTGGATTGTAATCTTTATAAATGGTGTTGTATGGGTGATGAATGTTTAGTGTGATTTAGAATTAGTGTTGCCATATCGGCGCAAGAGTGATGGGATTGTTAGGAATAGTACTAGTACAACGTGTACTTGAGGAGTATGGTAAAATCCTAGAAGTATGGGGAATGGTGTGTAAAGCTCCATCTCGGAGTATTTGATTTAGGGCAACCTGTGGATGTTTGAGTGTCAAATTTATGTTTTATTGAATGGTTAACCGATTGGTTGATATGGGAGTTTGAGTGACAAATAGTCACTTTGGAATGCTTAAGTATGAGTAGAGTCACAAGTTCGAAAAGTGTCTTGGAAGGGTTTCGTGAGTGTGGAGTATCCCGTATGTAATGGCAAGGCTTGGATGAGGCTTGTTTCAAGTGGATGGAAATTCCTTGGGTTGAGGGTGAAACATCAAAAATTTCTTGGTCTAGTCTACATGTGAATGAAAAATGGTAACTATGAGTATGAATTGTAAGATGTTAAGGGGTGTGTGCTGAACCTCAGATAGGGACAATTGGTGCCAGTGAGAATGTCAATGTTTGAATTGTGAAAGTAGAAAATTGGTGAATTAGATTAAGTTGCATAGTGGAGATGAACTGTCACACCCCCAAACTCGCCCCTAAAAGTTTGGGCATGACCAACTCGATAACAGTCTCAAAACTCAATAATTATGTAATATGGGGCCTGAACGGAAGCAATTATCAATTTAAAATAAACATCCATTGAGCTAACGCTTACATGCCAGGATCACAAAACAATCCATCAATTAGCCCAACACATAAGGAACATACATATAAGAGATAGTTATACACACACATATATACAGTCCCATCCCCGCAACTGGGGGTATAACTAATGCATCGATAGTGAAGGTTATACACACTTTACTACATTTGACAAAAACCACTGACCAATGCTATGAGCAAAGAAAGGAACTTCACAAAAATGGGTAACTTCACTGAATTGCTTGGACACAGCGGGATGATCGAAGATAGCTGTTAGGCTGGACTAAAACTGACCTCCTGGTTGATTACCTACAGAGACACACATAACACCGAGTGAGCAGGGCTCAGTGAATAATAGTATGTAGGAAACTCAAATGAATAAACATGAATCACAATGCATATATGCGCATAGGTCACATGTTTGATCTTGTTCTGTAGCCATTTCCAAACGGCCTTGGGCCCAATATTTACACAAAATGGCCTCAAGGCCAACATCATGTAGAACGGCCTCAGGCCCAAAATATTATACAAAACGGCCTCAGACCCACATATCAATAGCTGTCTAAACATTGGAGGGTAGATAGAACATCGACATGTACACCACCTCTCTTGGCCATAGGCCATGAATCATACTCAATTCAAATCACATTCGGTCAGTGAGACATCAGTATGTCCTCACCTTCCTCTACCTTAGATCTATCCAGACTCAGTGGCTTATAACTGAACGACCTCGAGCCCATCGTTAGCAAGGCAAAATGACCTCAGGGACATTATGTGTTGCTTTGTGTAAGCATGGGTTGAGCTTCTTGGATAGAACTTGTGGCCAACTAACTTGCTTTGAGATCTCATTGGAAACACGTCTGATCAACATGGTTTCCAGTGGGAGTTCCTTGGAAGTTCCAGGACAAGTGGTTGTCCTTGTAGACTTGGCTCAATTATGTGGTTTGTTGCTTAAAATTTATTTATGTGCTATGTGATTATACGTTAGGTTGCTTTCTTGTTCTAGCAGGAAGAGTAAGTGTCTCGGAGAAGGATTAGAATTCAATCAATTGATGTTAGATGTTGTTATAGAGATAATGAGAGCTGTAAGGGAGTATAGTTGAGATGAGGTGAAATCTTACGATGGCGTGAGGTTAGGTTGAGTTATGAAGAATATTGTGAAAGGTTTGGAAATGGAGTGTGAGAATTGGGTTTCATGATGATGAGGGTGGAAAAAAAAGGGGTTTGTGGTATTTAAGTATTGAGTGACATGATTGAGGCTTGTATAGGGTTCATGAGTATGAAGAAACTTGATAGCTAAAGGCTATGAGTGGTTCTTGAGGAGGAATGTGGGTTATAATCTTTGTAATAGGTGTTGTATGGGTGATGAATGCTTAGTGTGATTTGGAATTGGTGTTTCCATATCGGCACAAAAGTGATGGAATTGTTAGGAATAGTACTAGTGCAATATGTACTTGAGAAATATGGTAAAATCCTAGAAGTATGGGGAATGGTGTGTAAAGCTCCATCTCGGAGTATTTGATTTAGGGCAACCTGTGGATGTTTGAGTGTCAAATTTATGTTTTATTGAATGGTTAACCGATTGGTTGATATGGGAGTTTGAGTGACAAATAGTCACTTTGGAATGCTTAAGTATGAGTAGAGTAACAAGTTTGAAAAGTGTCTTGGAAGGGTTTTGTGAGTGTGGAGTATCCCATATGTAATGGCGAGGCTTGTATGAGGCTTGTCTTAAGTTGATTGAAATTCCTCGGGTTGAGGGTGAAACATTGAAAATTTCTTGGTCTAGTCTGCATGTAAATGAAAAGTGGTAATAATGAGTATGAATTGTGAGATGTGAAGGGGTGTGTGTTGAACCCAGATAGGGACAATTGGTGTTAGTTAGTATGTCAATGTTTGAATTATGAGAGTACAAAATGGGTGAATTGGATTAAGTCGCGTAGAAGAGATGAACCCTTGTAGTTGCTCCTTCTGATGGGACTTAAGGATTGATTTGGGATAGTTTGGTCAGTTTTGTTTCGGTTTGCAACCAATTTTAAATGAATGCTATTTGAAGTGAATTGACACCTAGTCAATTTGGGAATTGCTATGGTTTGGATAAATAGTGGTATGGTCGAATAGTACTTTAAGTGGTACTTGTAGATATGGAGTTTGTGTATGTATGTTGTTGATGTGAATTTGTGAAATTACCTTAATGGAATTAAAGTGTTTGAATGTAAAACATTGTGAGTGCACTTGTGTTAACGTGTATTAATGATTATTTGTGCTGATGTTTGTAATGGGTGAGAACTCCCAATTTTTGGAAAGTCGTATATGTTTTATTACTCCTCGGATGTATCGAATTGTTTTGTTTGTAGCTATTACAAATGTGTATGGTAAAG